GATTCAGTGGATCATTTTAGCTCGGACAGGAATGAATGAAGACGTTACGGCGTTGACGCTTTTTCGTTCATAGCTTTTTCTTAGCCGAACAAATCGCGTGAAATTTGGATATGTTTGACTAGGGCATATTTCACCCTACCCCGCACTATTCGACTGCAAACAGCAATATCCACATAACTAAGAGCAATGGTTTGATGCGATAGTAGACTTCGCCATAAGCAATGTTAGTGACGTGTGCAGTTATTCGCACTTTATGTACATTTTTCTCCTCTACTGTGTTCAGCATTAGCGCTCGTACGCTTTAGATGTGATAAAAAGGAAAGAGACTCCAGTAGAACATCATCTGTATTTTCAGTTGATTTTGAATTCAAGCTCTTTAGTATATCTGGAACATGATCAGATTGCAGGTCAACAGTGGTAAATATTCACAACCCACCCATGCTACACATATAGAAATTTCGCATGATTCGATCCACTAGGAAAGGAGTTACGACCGAAAAGTACGAATGGAGAAGCATTTGACCGAAGACTTTTGAGCGCTACTGTATGTCTGGATAGCAGAAAATGTTATATAGACTTAAACATTTATTCCATATAATAAACATCAACATTCAGCAATAAACAATAAATCGTAACATCGAGGACAGCCTGCCCGGAGGCGATCATTCAAAAAAAGAAATTCAATGGAGGGGGAGCGTAGAACTAACGTCGCTAAACTAACGTACCCTTGTTTTCGTTGTAAACATTTTAAACTTACCATCTTAGCACTGACAAGGAAGGTCTTCCAGGGCTTGGGACGTCTTTTGAGAATGGTTTTTGCATGGTATAGGGGCATAAGCACTGAGTATAGAACTATAGACCATTTCTGCTAAATGGCCTTCCGAATGACAAAAAAGAGTGAGAATGATTTCGCCAGGAATTGCCGTTTCAACCCCTAAGCGTCGTTTGTTTCACTCATGTCGTCCACTGTCCGCGCAGTAGAAGGGGCCAGTAGGGGCGACATCGAAAAATAACGTGAACGCTAGACAGAAAAAGGAGCCACATGTTAAAACATGTTGAAAAGTGAGTTCATATGTGCTCTCCACGGTTAAGCTGCTGCCAGCATTGGATGGTGTGGTGGATAGCGATGTGGACTTTGAGTTGAGACGGCTAGGCTGGGTTGATGGTCGGATGCCCGAGATTTGCTGTTTTTGCATTTTATGCTGCCACCTCCAGATCGGCTCCCTATTGCACCAGGGCCACAGCAAGTGCCTAACTGGTCATGGTCGTGACCAGCGATAACCTCCACAAGTCGTTTGAATTTGATGTGTGGAGCACTATCAGTGGAGGAGTTTCCCTCCTCCACCCCCTCCTCCTCAACTTCCTCACATAGCTTTTTCATCAGTTCGGCTGTCTCTGCATCCCTCATACCGAGAGTTCATTCAGCTGGTAAAATGAAGGTAAATTGGTATGATACCATTTTGGTAGTCAAAAAACTCGATATCGTATCATCTGGTCTGTATGAACATTGCATAGTCCATACATTCTTTGAATGATTTGGATAGTAATGGTTCGATTGTTGTTTTATTTCGACCGAATTTCTTCAAAACTGATGAAGGGCGCATCCAATTCTGATGATTCACCGTTTTTTACCCTAGCATTAATCTCGCCTCGCTCCGTTGAAGGGTTTTACTCCACTGTTCTGGTTGGTCATCTTCATTTCCTTCTCTTCCACGATCAGTATCTTCTGCAGTCACCTCGACTTCGGCAATGTCTTTCTTGATCGCGCGCGTGCTACCCGCTTTCATAGCAGGACGCGGAGTTAGGGGATCGTATGTTGGGAGCGGGTATTACCCAAAAATTCTAGTCATTAATCTAGTAATCCGGCGCTAGAATTATTTCCTTCTGGGGTGACAGCTTATTAAATCAAGCCTAATGCTCATGTATGTTTTAGCAAGAAGACGAGTTAAAGAGAATTTGATTCGTTTTCCCACAGAAGTGAAGTCCGCGGTTTTTCCAGAGAAATGTTGCAATTGGGGGCTACAATGAATATGGGAATCCTGTTGTCTTTGCATTTTCCCAGGTGCAATACGGAGCCAATCTGGAGGTGGCAGCATAAAGTGCAAAAAACGGCAAAGCCCCGGGGATGAAGCATCAACCCAGCCTAGTCGTCCCAACTCGAAGGCCTCATCGCTATCCACCACACCATCCGTCGCTTCCACAGTTTACCCGTGGAGAGCACATATGAAACTTCCCCGCTTTTTTCAACATGTTTCAAAATGTGGCTCCCCTTTTCGGTTACCATTCACGTTATTTTCAATGCGCAGTACACTGGCGCCCTCTACTGTGCGGACAGTAACGTTATGAATGAAACAAACGACGCTTAGTCAGTAGAAACGGCAATTCCTGACAAAATCATTGTCACTCCTTTTTTGGTGTCCAGAAGGTCGTTTAGTGGAAATGGACCATAATTCCATACTCAGTGCTCATGCCCCTATGCCATGCAGAAAACCATTTTCAAATAGCTTCCCACGCCTTGAAAGACATTCCTTGTGATAGAACTCGGACGGGCTCCAAAAAATCGCTAATTGGCTTGGTTCAGGTTGCAGCAATATTTTCGATTGGATACCATCCCTCTTCTGATCTCCTATCTGCCTACCAGGTGATGATGGTCCTGTTTCAAAACTTACTTCACACAGAACGTTTGAAACGCATATTTTTAGCAGAAAAGGAAAGCAGAGAGGAACGATCGAGAAAAATGAAGAAAAATAAAAGCAGTATATTTGCATAAAGGGCAAGTTTCCATTGGGGTTTTATAGAGGATACTCCCTGTGAGGGCGCTGAGGAAGTGGACATCCGGTGATATTTTGAGGTCCATCGTCGACGAGGAGATAAGCTATAGAAGAATCTAAACAAAGTGATCTTCCCCGCTCGTCTGGCTACGGCGTCTTGCCAATCGATATTGCTCCGATGAATGTGAAAAAAGATCGGATCTCATCTGCCTTTCATTACCCAGCTAGCTTGCATGGGGGAAAAGCTGCTTGGGAAACGTCGCACAGTTAAAAGCACAGTTCACAAAATATTTATTTCCAGGGATTTGTTCACTTATGGCTCCTTGAATACGAATGTATGATCACTGGGCTCAAGAAGCACTAAGTAAGAATTGAGAGGCATCAGCAAGACAAATCCCAAACAAACACACGTTTCTAAGTCTTGTGAATATTCCCCGTTTCTTTAGCCGTCAGCAATCTCTTTGAAGTTCAACATGTAGTGCTTTTTTTTGGCAACGGCTACTCAACTGCGGTAATTACCGAAACCCTTGGAGAATGATTGGGAATGATACTTTCCGAGTTCTTCGATTCCGCTTTTATAGGAGTTGACCGTTTGCGAAGTTTCTTCAAAACCAATGCTCTGTAGGGCGGGACAAAATTCAAAGCGATAAGGGGATCAATCACACACGGCAAGGTTGGAATGCAAATGCGAAGATATTCACTAACAGGAGTTTCCGATCCAGAAGCCCACGCAAGAGCAGCCAAGAAAGATACTGGTACGAAGTTAAGGATCGGGAGCATGGCTTGCATTGTGAGAGCCTGAAGAAAAAAAATATTTCGCGTCAAAAAAGTATATCTGAATTATATTGAAAACTCCAGTAGGCATTGCTCAAAGGCACAGCTCACGGTAATGTTGGGATATTCAGTTGTAGACGGAAAGGATAGTCAGAACAGCGCAAAGGTAGCGCAGAAAACGCGAAAATCGGCCTATTGAAAATAAAATAATGCTCCGAAAAAGTAGCAAGTTCAGAGGTTGTACGAGAATGTGATACACAAGTTGCATGGAATGGTTTTAGGCGTGCTCTTCGAATGTGTCTACCATTGAGTAGCCGACTACAGTAGCCTTTTTGCGTGCGACGTATGTGTCTCGGTGCGAATGGTGCAACCTCTATACTCTCGATGACGAAACGAAAACTCGTCCGTTTTTGGGTGTGTACGTCGGTTAAGTTAGTTTTGGGGCCCCTATCACGCACTAGGTAACAATATTTCGACGGGGCGCCCCTTATGCTATCCTAAGGCCACAAGTACACCTCAAAGAGAAATTACAGAAACCATTTCTATCGCGACTCTACCCATAAGCCGAACCCCACAACTTGCAGAACATGAAATTTTGACTTTTATATTTTTTATTTAGTGCCATAAGCAGATTGTTTGTCAGCTCACCTTTAAATACATTTTAGAACTCTGAATTGTTTTCTTGCTGTACTGATGATTCGAGTCGTTGAATGTTTTCAGTATTAAACGTCTGAGGTNACGAAACGAAAACTCGTCCGTTTTTGGGTGTGTACGTCGGTTAGGGCCGCTATCACGCACTAGGTAACAATATTTCGACGGGGCGCCCCTTATGCTATCCTAAGGCCACAAGTACACCTCAAAGAGAAATTACAGAAACCATTTCTATCGCGACTCTACCCATAAGCCGAAGGCCCACAACTTGCAGAACATGAAATTTTGACTTTTTATATTTTTTATTTAGTGCCATAAGCAGATTGTTCGTCAGGTCACCTTTAAATACATTTTAGAACTCTGAATTGTTTTCTTGCTGTACTGATGATTCGAGTCGTTGAATGTTTTCAGTATTAAACGTCTGAGGTAAAGTATAAGAATCGGTGAAATGATCGCAACTGCGGTGCCAATGCATATACAGATGGTCCGATTTAAACTTTTCGGTTCGAATCCTCCGAATTCCCCATATCTGAATATCGACAGTTCAGGGAGTGGTAAGAGCGAGTTCGAGACCGAACTCACCTATCTAAATTGTAATTAGGATGTAAGCGGATTGCATCTTCCATAACGATGTCAAACTGTGGATAATCAATAAGCGGCAGAACCTGTAACAAATCGGACTTATTTCCAACACTTTTTCACATTTTTTCCATAGAAGACATGGCTACCATTGGAAGCGCTATGATCACTGTACTCACGATTTTTCTAGAACAACCATTTCGTTGCTCAAAACAACCATTCTGTTACCGTTAAGAGGCCTACCTAATAATTAGAAAGTAGAGTTCTTTCGTTAGCCTCACAAATCCCGCATTTATACCTACAAGGTGCCATTTGTCTATAAGAGTGAAATGTAATTGGAGCGGCTTCCCCTCCTCTCTAACATTAGGTGCCGGACCGCAGAGAAGGAGTAGCTCTTCTGCTTGTATGCCCTTCAATTTTTTGCGGGCCCATAATGATGCAATCTTAGTAGGAATAGTGCGATAGCACGTTACCGCTTCCACTTTCGGAAGGGAATGAATCACTGGTCAACTGAATATTCAGTTCTTCCCCATTTCCAGCTTTTTGCACGAGGCCTAATTAAAGCCGATCCCTCAGTTCAAGTAGGGAAACAGTCAGATAGCTTGTCAACAAATCCTTAACGTTTGACGATATGCAGAACCATCCAAAACCAGAAGCCAGTATGCGTCAGTCAGATGGCCTGTTAGTTGGTGTCGAATTACACCGCTCGAACAATCATCAGGAAACGCTTGGGTATGACTTCTTCGTCTTCAAAGCGGCCGCTCTCTCGTAGAGGAATAAGCGAACGCGCTTCAATTTCGAAAAGGGGCAATGAGGGGGAGGGGGTGCGAGCTTATAAGGAAAAGTTTCAGGAAATGGATCAAGCTGGACCTACCAGTAGTAATATTGGCCAAATCGCAATCATTGCGAAACTCAGAAGAAGCTCTGCTCTGTTAATCTATCTGGATTGTAACATTCGATAACGCCAAAACACTGTATGAGCTATCAATAGCTCTATGTAAAACGTCAATGCAGCGATGATGTTGAAGGCGATTAGGCCTGCCGCGGGACCAAACATGCGAAGTGGACCTTTTGAAAGAATTGCAATGCTCGAACCGCTGACAATCGATCTGAAAACAGCTTTTCATTAGAAAAACCGAATCATTATTCGTTTTATTACTTACAATTGCTAGGCTCACTGACCTTCCTTGTAGAAATGCCGCTGTTAGGGCTGTGAGGATTTGCATAGTGCATATGTTGGTCAACATGACTTTCATGCTCCGAACGGTGTTAGGACTCCTTAATATGAACGACAGGTAACTATAGGCGGAACAGGATCTTTCATCGGTCATCAAGAAGCCTTTGATTGAATTTCCCTCATTTTCTGAACTTGTGATCGGTGCCCCCCCTCCCAACTACATTCTCACCATTCTGATGACTTAAAAAGATAGAACATAAAGTCTTCAGGCATTAGTTAATCCTGTATGGTATGCACCCCCGTACACTAGTTCCATTCAGAACCGTAGCGGCGTATTGAATGCGTTTGTGGTCTATACATGATTGCGGTAGTGAGCCGACGTACAAGTCAAAGCTTTCACCATGACAGACGAGTTGGTACTAAATAACCGGCCCCGGAGGGACGAAAGGCTAAGTTGACTTGAGCGACTATCGATTCGGGATTTGGACCCGTGCACTGTGTGAGTTGAAGCGCAACTTGGCACTACCCTACCTCCTCCTTCTGCTGGATATAGCGTTCAAATTTCGAGAAGGCCACTTCGAGTAAAGATCAAGATACTACAATTGAGCGTTATAAATGAGTACAATGTGGAAAGCCTACTTATATCTGATGAGATATATCAGTAATCCGTTCGTAGACAAAGCAATTGTAACGAAAATAGCGTAATAGCAATGGACAATGAGGGGATTGAGGTCGTTGTATTCCATGACAAGCCTGAAACTTTTTCCGATTTCGTATGATCACGTGTTTCTCATATGGCTGCTAATGAGTTTCGGTGAACAACCAGAGCATGACCGTAACTGACAGACTGACCGACTAGGTTGTTTGTGCTGGATCGAAAGCACAGGCACGATAATTTTGGGTTGCCTAGTTTCAAACGAGTAATGGGAGTAATGGAAGTCATAGTCCAGAAGAGCGCACAAGTAACGAGGCAAACGCGAAGATTTAGGTTTATTCTTTTGTTTTATCTTTTTTCTATTTAGATTTTTCATTGATTAGGGGTAGAATGCTTCGGAAAAGAAGTAAATTAAGGGGCTAGACGAGAATATTACGAATTAGCTGAATGAAAGGGATTTTGGACGAGCTGTTCGAACGTACTCGCCGTTGCATGCAGCTGGCTACAACACGCTGCTTGCGTGAAAGGTGTGGGTCCCGGAGCGAATTGTGCAACCTTACAGCTTTTACAACGCTTGAATCCGTCCGCCTTGAGCACGAACGTCGGCTAAGCCGGCTTTGGGACCCTTATAAGGCCCTATATTGGCCGTTTTTTGACAAGGCAGCGTCCTCTGTGTTATCCTTGGGGGTCACTGGTTCATTCTAGGGAGAAATCTCAAAAATCATTTCTATCGCGAACCTAACCTTTGAAGGCACAGTTCATGAAGTTGGTTTCTATGTTCTCCCTCTAGGAATATCCAGTGGCCCTCAGGGNGGGTAACAGGAAGGACGCTGTTGGGTCTTAAACCTCAACTGATGGGGAACAGTGGGAGCCCCGTTACCGAATCTCCCAGATGCCACGCCACTCGATCACGTCAGGTGAGTGTCGAGGCGATACAGATTGCAAAATTCGCTAGGACTCACACACAATGAGCAGATCGCCGAGTAATGAGGCAATGTTTTTCTCCTATTCTTTTATTCTCTCTTGTTTTTTTTGCTGCTGCAAAACTTTGATTTTCTACCCTAAGAGGCTAAAAAAAGGTGGGCTATTTGATTGTTGTTACTAGCGTTTTTGTCAACTTATGCTTATTATCGAATGAATTCCAAAGAACGTTTCGCTTACTGTAGTCAGCTATTCGCACCAGACCCATAAGAACGCAGTGACACACATTGTATAGCTCGTCAAAGCACTTCTTCCGATTCACTTTTCTGGTATTCTTCCTTTTTGGGCCCCTTTTTTGACCTTCTTCTTCTCCCTAACCTTAATGTCACGCCGTCGCAGGGTTCCCTGCCCTTGTCAACCGTCTCCACTTCTATCGATCTACGGCATCTTCTGTCATTATTTTGACTTCTACGAGGTCCTTCTTGATCACGTTCCGCCATCTCTTCTTTGGGGCTCCTCGTGGTCGCTTACTGTGAGCTTCGAACTCCATTGCCACCCTTACCGGATGATTCTGTGGTCTACTCAGCACATGTCCGAACCATCGCAAGCATTGCTCTCTCGTCTTCAGCTGGACTGGGGCTCTTTGCATAGCCGCCATGACGCCTTCATTTCTGATTCGATCCACTCGCATCCAACCACAGGCCCACTTGAGCATTCCCATTTCTTCGTAGTGAAGCTGTCCTTCATGGGATTTACTCACGGGCCAACACTCGCTGCCGTAGAGCATCCTTACCACTGCCTGATACAATTTTTAGAGTCCTGGAGCACCGACGGTCGCAGATGATACCGGAGGACTCCCTCCACTTCATCCGCGTTCATCCAGGCTTTTACGGCCTGGTCCACTCTACCATTAGCGGCTAGATCACGCGCCAGGTATCGGAAGTCCCGAACCTTTTCGATGGCTTCCCCGTGACCGTCTATGATTGATCCTGTGCCCTCCTCGGAGCTGAGGAACCCGGTCTTCTTCACGAACAGCCGGAGCCCGTTTCCGCCAGCACTTTCTGCCATTTCTGGAACTTGCCATAGAGTTCTTCCTCGCCCTCCGCTATCAGAGCGATGTGCGTATTGTTGCCGTGGACCATCGCACATATCCTTGACCAGAAAAATCATGTGTGCTGGAACGTTTCGTTTTCGGAGCGCTCTCCAGAGGACTTGTCGCGGGAGGCGATCGAATGTCTTCTCCAGATCGAGTAAGGCTCGGTAGCAGGGTCTAGCTTTTTTTCGATACTTCTTCAGAGCTTGTCTGCCTGTGAAGATGGCATCCATTGTTGATCTTTCAGGCATGACGCCGAACCAATTGCCTTTCCACCGTTCATCCTTCCCATTGCTCTTAGCACCTCATCCTCTGTCCACAGTTCGATGGAGCCAGCCGCTGCCTCGATTGAGAGCTCTTCTTACGGGCGAATTCCTCGTTTAGGAGCCTATCGAAGTATTCCTCCCACCTACACCTCACCAGCTTATTTGGGATGGCACCCTCGCTGCTCCTAACGGACTTCACTACTCCGATGTCTTGAGTAGCCCAGCGACGCGCTTTCGCCAGCCAGAGGGACGAACTTCGCTCCTTCTCGTCCCTCGAGCCTCTCATACAAGGCATCAACTTCCGTATTCTTGCCTCCGCTACAGCAGTCTTGGCGAACCTCTTGGAAGTTCTATAGGCAGCTAGATCTTCTAGAGCTCGTGTCTTCTGCCAGCGCTCGCAAGCCAATTTCTTCTGCCTCACAACTCGCTGGACTCCATTTCTCCAGGACCAGGCTTCCTTGTCCCCTCGGAATCCACCCCGAGTTCCTCCTAGCGTTTCCCTGGCACATCGTAGAATGACCTTCACGGCGTTGCTCCACGTCTGCTGTATCGGCCCCTCGGGAACTGAAAGTCTAGCTTCCAGTATCTTCTCATTGAGGTTTCCTCTTTCGACTCGGTTCACTTCCACCATCGGATCCCCCGTTCCGTTCTTGTCCTTGATTTCTTGGGAAGATGGATGGCTATGCCTGCTAGGAGAGGCCCCTGCTGTGGAGAAAGGTCTTCGCCAGGTAGTACTTTTATGTCCTTCACAGTCTTAAGGGATGACCTACTTACTAGTACGTGGTCTGATCCTGTTTCTTTCCCTCCACTGCTGTAGGTTGCTCTTTGGGCTTTCCTTTTCGCGGAGGAGGTGCTGCATGTTGCTAAGTCGTGGGCTGTGGCCAGATCGAGAATCCTTCCTCGTCCTCCGTTCCTGACACCTATCCCTTGCCTCCGTGAATCCTCTCATAGCTCCTTCGTTCACTTCCAACTTGGTCATTAAGATCACTCGCTACTGTGAGATAGTCCCTCTGCGGAACTGACCGGATGGCGTCGTCAAGGCTCAGATAGAACTCATCCCTTTCGACGACGGGGCAGCCGACCTGTGGGGCATGCACGGATATTATTGTTCAGTACCCCTCCTTCGTGTCTATCCTGACAACCATGATTCGACTACTGATCCTGTTGACGGCGAAGATAGGGTCTTTGAGGGAGTCCGCACCAGCTATGGCCACGCCATTTTGTTTGGTGTCTTCTCTGTTGTAGAAGAGCTTGACGCCCTCCCCGATTTCTCTGGCCTTTAATATATTCCAGCGTGCCTCCTGATGGCATAGTACTTGGATGCTTGCGCGCTTCATAATAGCAGCGACCTCTCGGGACTTCCCAGTAAGCGATCCCACGTTCAGAGTCCCGATTCGAACTAACTTCTTTGGTCGAGGTTGTTCACTCCTCGGTAGCTCCGCATAGTATCTACAGGGTCCTGCGCGCCACTTTCGGGTGTCATCCTAGCTCATCGTATCATTGATTCCTTCTGAGGCTTTAGACATTATTGATGTGACTGGGTTTCTCCAGCCTCCTTTTCAACCATTTCTTGAAGCCTTTTATCACTTTGAAAACGTCGAATCGCGCACCTCCTTCGCCATATTTCCACCCTATCTTCCATTTTCTGGATTGCCCAGAATTATCGTAAACTGTGCTTCTAAGGTGAAATCTTACAGTCATCGAAGCAAAATTTCAAAATTGTAGGCATTTTAAGCACTAGAGCTTTTAGGAAACAGAATAGACCTTACTCTACAAGAAGGGCATCAGGTAATCCGGTGAATTCCTACCGTTCTCTTAATTGGTGGCTCTCTGATTTTTTCTTCTGCAAATTTATATTTGAATAGTAGCACCTTTAGTTGGACGCAGAAATTCCCATCAAGCCAACAATTCAATGAAGGATGTATTATGAACAACAGCGCAACCTCACAAATGGCATTGGGTTGAACGAAGATTCTGAAGCAAAGGAAAGCCAACAACCGACAGATCACGATTTGTCGGCAAATTTTGATCTTGTCATTCTTTGAAATGCTTTTCAAAATTTAAAATTTTCTAAATTCAACTCCTGGGCTTAGTGTTTTGTAACTGCTGTCATTTCACTGCTTCGCGGTCCGAAATCTCTCAAGGTAGGTATGTTATGGACAAAAATGCTATTCGAGGCCGGAATGTTGTCCATAACTCGCCAAATTCGGGAATAAGCTTCAACTCTTCAGACACACCATCTTTCGAGAAAGAACATCGAACAGGTCAAACTGACAATGAAATATCTTGGTGATTTCAGTTCATTTTGATTTTGGGGATCATTATATAATGGTCCTCATGTAAATCTGATCAGTACTAGCAAGAGGGTGATCTACTAAAAGTGTCAAACTTTTTTAGAGAACAACGTAGCTTTATATAACATTAGTTGGAAAGGTCCTGTACTGAAGACTTACTGCAAGTATCTCTGACATGTTTTTGTGAGGATTAGGTAGTCATATGGGAGGTTATGTTTTATCGGAAGCATCAAAATAAACCCTTTTAGAGTTTCAAAAAAAGGGTTATCCCTCTTTCACCCTTTACAGTTTACTTACAACTCCTCGCAGTAGTCTGAAAACTGCTCGAACGTCTACATACAAAAGCTTCCGCAATACGTAAAGCAGTTGAAGGCTGAGTGAATGAGTGATAATTGTTGGACGATGACATGATTTCACCGTCTGTCGATTCTATTATATTCTTCAACTTTAATAGATTTCGGATATTTAAAGATAGTTGATGAGATTTGAGCTGTTCATCACAAAAAAAAATGTTGTGGATAAAAGACAATAGACCAGACATTATTGCCATGGCCGACAAATATTCTGTTACTGTAAGCATAGGAAATAGTCATATGCATTGACAGCACTGGCATGCTCTCTACAGTATGGAAAAAANAAAAAACTCACATTTAGTTGATTTCTTTGTTGACATGCTGCAACATTATCTTACTACACTAGCTAATTAGAATGCACAAAACTTGAAAATCTGTCGGTAGAGTATTGTTTGCACATATAAACAATGCGCACTTCACGACAAAGGCTTACCGTATGGCGACAATCCATTACTGCAATCCAGCGTATTCGTGCGGAAAACATTTTACCTCATTAAAACCTTGGACAACGTGCTTGCCACTGAAATCACTGAATTCTGCAACAAACGTGGGTATCTCCTCAGCTACAGCAATGGAAAGTGGGGGACGCACGATTCGTGAGATTCCGGGTGCGCGCAGCAGATTGCGGTGCGGAATTCATGATGATTCGAACGACTCTGACGCCTACTATTGGAGTACAAACTTAAAGTAGAGCAGATTAGTAGGATCATCTGACCATACCCAACTACTCTCTTCAAGTTTGTGCTCCAATAATAGGAGTCAGAACCGCTTGAATAGCACCGAACTTCGATGCGCAACTTGCCGCTCGCACCCAGAATCGCACGAATCGGCACACACCCGTGGAAAGTTGGGCCTTCAAGAGACCCTCAAAGTCACGATAGTTTCGATATATCTAATGTAAGGTGATGGGATTACGGTACAGTATACAGGGTGGGCCAAAGTTATGATTGCAGCGCGCGCTGACGCTCATAGTAAACTTTTTCCGAGTTCAAGACAATTCGTTCGCTTTCTTTCATTTCACGAGGTAGATTACATTATCACCTTCCTAATGATACTAATCTCTTGGTAGATTTTGAAGGTAATGTAAGCGTCGCTACCCCGTGTATCAATCGTCGCTTCGCAAGCACTTTTAGCACGATGCATCTATAGACGGTTTAGCGTAATAAGGTAGGTGGTACATTTGACCATAAAACGCTTTCGAGAATTAGGAACATTTGCAGATAGAAGGGGTAAACCTAAGAGCCCTGCAGTTATATTCAGAGAAGTGTTAAGGAAGCAGGAAGAGAGTCTGCGTAGCAACGAAGTTCATTCTGAGCCCAAAATGACTGAATGAATAGGTATTTCATAAAGTTTTCTGCGCGAAATCATGAAGCATTATCTGCACAATAAAGAGAAAGTGATTCCTCCAGTGAGCAGGCTTAATCGAAAGCTGCCCAGCCGCATCCGAAAAAATCGTCGTACGGAATCCCTGTTCACCGACAAAAAGATATTCACGGTAAAGAAAGTGCTCAATAAGCAGGGTCGTGTATGAAGCTGAAATGGAAGTGATGCAGAACCAGGCTCACCGACTTATGGAGATGGCCTTTGCGAGCACCACCAAGGCAAAAGCCCATATTATTCTTGCAACTTGTGGAGTGAAAGTTGATTTTGAGGCCTGTTCGATCTCGTCATGCACAATAGGACACTTTGGCAATTCGAATCAGACATATTGTCAAGATTAAACTCTTGACAGCAGATCAGAAATTGCCCACAAAATTTCGTAAAAGGGGTTCCCTGAATTCGATTAGTGACCACTCTGGAGCCGTGACCTAAATCCCATGGATGTCTCAAAGTGGTGAGCCTTTAACATGAAAGCATCCGTTAGCCCAAACAAGAACTGAAATAATCTCGAAAATGCCTTGCAAAAAGCCGGGATCAACTCGATGACCTTAGCTGCGTGCCACCGTCAATGTCGTCCATCGTCGTCTCTGGGGTTGGGTGAAAGCAGAACGCAACAGATCCCAGTCTCAATGTACTACTTTGATAAGAGTTTAGTAATAAGCACTTTTCTGAAATTGGCTTGCCTTATTAGCTTTCTATACGTTTTCGGGGATATGATATTAGTGCAATCATAATTTCGGCTCATCCTGTAGAGCAAGGGTGGCGAAGAAATTGTGAAAACTGGTGGATTTAAGCATACAAACGCTTAAGAAGTACGATGAACAGGACTGAGGGTAATTATGATGGAAAGTAGCAGAAAGGAAGTTATGTTCGGACGAGATGTTACTTGCTGCAGCAAGGAGAAGAGTCGGCTTCAGAGTCGGATATAACAACAATTGCCCCCTACTTGGCGCATTCATAGAATTGTCAGCTTAGTTCATAGCATAAAAACCTGCCTCCTTGAGAAAGTAAAAAGGAAAAGTATAATCGCATGTTTTGCATCAATGCGTCAGTGAGTGGCAAGGGACGCACCAAAGCACACGCGGACCGATAACGGTACATACCGTGTTCGGTTTCTAGGAATCAGAGTGGTCTGAGAGGATAATAGCGCTGATTTTACATATCGGCTGGCCACCGCAGTTCATTGTGTGTGCTACGTACACATTCGATACGCCACAACGATTCTGAATGGAAATTGACTGTGGGAGCATTAGAAAATAGGACTAATTAATGTTGAAGTGCCTTGTCAGCTTAGGAGGAGAGGGCAGTGCCTGCGATGGTATGGGCATGTGCTACCAAGGCCACAGGATCACGTCATAAGCGGGGCTTTGGGGTTGGAAACAGAAGGAAAGATATCAACGAAGAGATAGAGGGGCGTGATCAAGGTAGACATTTTCGAAACCAAGGTAAAGGCAGAAGATGTCATAGATGGAACGAAGTGGCGACAACTCATAAGAACAGCGTACNGCACTAGGGTGAAGGAGAAGAAGACTCATTCTTCAACATTCATAGGTATCAAAAGAGATAGTGAAGTCATAAGAAGCAGATCAACATCAATGCACCTGAAAGTCTATTCAATATCTATTTAATACGAGGGTATATTCTTGGCTGAAATGGAAAATAAACGCCGAATTAAAGTTACCAAGTTTTGCAATCAAGACTTCCCGCTTCGTCTCTTCGGAATACTCCAGGAAGAGGGAAAAATTTGGTATTTGGATGGTCTACAAGGCGAACGCAGAGGGTTCGGAAAAAGAAGCAATCAGTAGTTTCCGGATGTGGCGGAGAGCCCTAGCCCAAACAATCAGGAGACAGAACAAAGAGTAGAAATCATGATTGAATAAGAACTCATTTTTTCAGCAATTCCAATTATCTATCGTTCAAAGCAAAGTAACAAACATTATCAGAAAGCAATGATTCATGTTCAAAATGTTAGAATTATTATATACACTCAATATAATAAACAGTTAGAGGCATCATATCGAGTGTAGCAGAAATAGTAGTAGCCGATAGCTCAGGAGAGTAAGCTGATTTCCGCTTTTTTGGTATGTTCCTTTGAACGCCAGGTAGGTGGGGGGTCGTGTGCGGCATTGGTTGAAAAACACGACCGCTCACTACGGCAGCAGAGAGACCAATGATTTGAAAACATTTGTATTTATTTTCCCTTATATAGCATTTCCACGCCTTACTATCCTCCCCTCGTGAGTAAACAGTAGTTGACTAGGGAAAAGAGTAGATTGAATACAAGTTGGCTAAGAATATTCGACATCAGCATTTACATTTACAGTTGCTAAAAATTTATTGCCTCCGATTTTCGTTTCTTAAGGGGAGAATTGAGTTTGAATTGAGCTCTTTAGCAGAAGTGATGAACTGCAAACGTCGCTACAAATGAAGTTCTTTACGATTGCTACGTCATAAGCTTGGCAAATTCTGGTTTTCCTTTTGCGTACTCGACAAGAGCTTTCTTTGCAGACGGTCCTATTCCTATTCTTACTGCCGTTCGAGACAACCAATGAGTACTAAAGCAGAAAATATTATGGTCTTGTTGTAAAGTAATCATTGATACTTTGAAACCTGGAAGTTAGTGTGTCGCTAAGTTGCTTCACTTGCTTGACTTTGTAGATTGTGAAAGCGAGAATGAACATTGTACCAAAGTTGATGAGAATTGGAAGTGTCGTCGTCATCACCAACCACAGTGTTGTGTCTTCAGATGCCTGAGTTCGAAGTGTATCGAACATTTTTGAGCAATCTTTTCCCGAATTATGCAAAAAGATTTCAAAATTTATAAATTTTGTGAGTCTTTTCCTATTTCTTGGGCTACTGCTCAGCATCTTTACACTTTCTTTGAGCGGTACCGTGTGCTAAGATTTCTATGTATCTACTTTGCGTTAATCCCCTCCCGAATGCTTGACTGAAACAACAGTTTCCCAGTGACACAGATGAATCTAGTTGAAATCTTTCCTGCACAAACGAAAATCTGTTTCTTTTTATTGAAATTATACTTTTATTCACTCCTTTATTATTCTTTTTCGATTGGACTTTCAGATTACTACCGCAATTATCGATCGCACAACTACCAGAATTCATGTCCACTCCATTTTTTTCAAACCCTATCCGTTACCCTATGCATTGCGCAGTACAAGTTAATTGATTGATTGCCAAACACTTCAATCTCTAGAAGGTCTCTCGCCCTCCTGTTATCAAAATACTCATTTGTACCTTTCTAGTTACCTGCCTCCATCGTTGCTTACTTCTTATTCTCCTAGTATAGATATATGGCGTCTGTCAAGAAATTGCTATTATCCTTCGTACCGGATCTTAGAGGCTCCGAATTTTGAGGACATTGACAACAAAGGTGGAAGGCGACAAAAGGTAATAAGTATGATGAGGGCTTCAGAAGACAAGGTTTATGGGACGTTACGCTTCTCGGACTACATGTCACCCTTCGGTCTGAGTGAGGCAAGAAAAACCGTCTGCACATTGTTTTTGGAGTTGAGAAAGAAATTCTTCAACGTGCGACAGCAGTGCGTCGGCGGTGTGGGTATCATGAACATAACAAGGGGGACCAGAATTGAAGTATAGTGTAGTTACTGGTACTCCGGTTTCCTTTTTTTAAGAACATCGATAAAAATTGAGCTGCTCTCTACTCTATTACGGCTGAACGATTTGAACCGAGGAATTAGTAGAGGTATAGACATATCGCTTAGTAATTTGTTATATACATCCACATGTCTTGGACACCTACACCGCCGACGCCACTGCCGTCCCAATACGCATCGGTAACTATTGTTTTACTTATTACGATGCCACCATTTCGCCATCCACTCTAGTATACTACTTTCCGACTCATACTTCACTCAACTATTACCATGGTGTTTTTAGAGGTAGCTGCAGAGAAGTTTGAATCTACGGAAAGAGTGGTAATAATGGTAGTAATAGTGCATTCGGGAACCGAATTATTCAATGTTCCAGCATGGTGGCATAACGTGCTAGACAAATTGGGAAAGTTACAGCTCACTCACCGCACGGCATATGTCCGATGTCCTGAAATTGTTTGGTTTCGTGGAGCATCTCAAGGGCAAGAGGTCATACTAGCCACTACTAAGTTTTTCTCAAAGTTCCCTGGTGAAACAATAGCAGATTCCACTGTTCAGATGTACCACGAATTTTCAGTTTAAAGAACTCACCCATTCCCTTGCGATGCGGCCATCTGAGTGCTGTAAATAGCAACGATTCGTCAACGGGAAATGAAAATCGAAATTATGACAATTTTGCAGGGTTCTCTTTCTCCTTTCATATTTCTTCGCTAGAACTGTGCTTAAAGAAAAGACTCTCCATGATCTTAAAAGAGATTCATCAAAATAGTCGCAGTCGTGGTATTCGCGCTACGTGTTTGCTGGGGTGTGTTCAGGGAATTTGTTGAACTCAAATCTGACCTAAAGCTGCGTGCCTCAACGACCCCTACCTCCCTCTTGTCATTCATCAACACGCGGTAGGAGCTACAAAAACGGCATGTCGCTCAAGTATGCTCTCTCACCCCATGCAGAACTAATGAGGTGTAACGGGGCGTTAAAACAGGCGACAAATATGATATCGTTTAGTGTTGATTCATCACACTTATGAGACGTGTCCCTTCGACTTCGACTCAGAACGCCAGTGAGGTGTGTGGGTTACCCAATGACTTTCGGGGTCATCCATATACAATCAGTGTTTTTATCCTTCTAAACTTCTCAGATAACAGCCAAGCGAATAGAAGGCTTAGTTGGTTGGGAAGAGTATAGATCTGGGATTCCTATCCTGCGAATGTTAGCACCACATTGCATTACGCCAACTTCTTCGTGTAAGCACCTATATAGCACAATAAACCCACACTACTCAGATTAACAAAGCCTGAGTGACGGCCGACACCTGTCGTATTCAGGAGAAGAATGGTAGACATCCTAGCATTTTTAAGAGATATGTATAGCACTTGTTTGTTCAATAACAAGGGAGCATACGATCGTCTACACGCTTCCGCGGAAAAGCGAAGTTACTGGCTGTGATGACCAGCATGTATTAGACAGAAATCTTTTCCAAAAACCAGTAACTTATATTGTTCATAGAATGTCCATATTTTTGAACTAAATCCTCAAATATACGGGCTTGCATCGCTGCAGGCTGGCGTTTGAATATCTTCCCGCGAATGCATTAAAACACCTATCAGATTGAACAAGATTTCGAAATATCTCCACTGAACATACTATCAGGTCGTGAAGGAAGTTCTTGCGTTTCTTGACGCTCAATTTTCAAATGCTCACCGCGGTGTTAGTTGCTATTAGATTTTTTGCAAGTTTTATACCACTCTGAAGCGCTTTTCTTGCTCTATCCAATTATATAATCGGTTTTGCCCTGAAGTGATTCCTAGGGTTTTTTAGAAGGTCGAAATCATGGACAAACGACAGATCCGCACGATTTTTCTTTTCCAATTCAAATTGGGCAGGAGTGCGACGGAAAGGGCCCGGGATATCAACGATGACTTGGATTTAGGTACGACGAATCAATGTACAGCACAGTGGTGGTTTAAAAAATTCCGTACCGGCGATGAGAGCCTGGAAGATGATTAGCGTAGTGGGCGGCCATCGGCCGTTGACAACGAACAATCGAGAGCGTTAGTGGAAGAGAATCCACGTACAACGCTGAAGGATATTGGTTCGAGATTGAATGTTTCCAGCAGGACGGTTGGCACTCACATGCAGAAGATCGGGAAGTCGAAGAAGCTTGATAAGTGGGTGCCGCATGAGTTGACTCATCACCAGAAAGACCGCTGCTTCGACGCCTCCGCCATGCTTCTGCGCAACAGGAAAGATCCATTTCTAGACCGTTATTGTGACGTGTGATGAGAAAAGGATTCTGTACGACAACCGGCGACGATCAGGCCAGTGGCTGTACAAGGATCAAGCAACACGACATTTTCCCAAGCCGAAGCAGCATGGAAAGAATCATGGTGCTGGTTTGGTGGTCTGCAGCCGAGCTGATCCACCACAACTTCATGGATCCGGATCAGCCGAGAAGCAATGTCAACAAATTGACGAAATGCATCGAAAACTCAAGCTCATGAGCCCGGCACTGGTGAATAGGAAGGGGCCAATTCTTCACCACGACAACGCTCGGCCCCACGTCGCACAACTTACACTGAGTAAGTTGATGGAGCTAAGCTGTGAAACACTCCCGCATCCACCTTTTTCCCCAGACCTTGCCCTCACAGATTACCATTTCTTTAAACATCTCGACGGCTTTCCCAAGGAGAAATGCTTCAAAACCCAACATGATGCTGCCGCAGCATTCGACGATCATCGCCTCTAGATCTCTGGACCTCTACGCGAATGGGATAAATTAATTTATTTCCCGTTAGCAAAAGTGTGTCGATAGTAATGGTTGTTATTTCGATTCATGAAGTTTTGTTTAAGCCGAGATATGTACATTTGAAGTTTGAGGTGCAAAAACGCAAGAACTTTCTTCACGACCTAATAGTTTTGTTTTGTAGTTTAGCGGGCAGAAAAATTTAGGATTAAAAATCGTGGTCAAAAATGTTTGTGCTCATTTGTGGTCAATGTCCGTTGTCCAATAAAGCGAACTACCTTCCTTGGTTCACATTGAGCAGTTCTTGATGA